CTTCTTGATTACCTCCAAACACCCTGGAAATAATTAGCATCACAGATTCCGGCATCTGGCCTTATGCAGAGGACTGTGATTCTGAAATTCCCATTACCAAAGCCTCATGGTGTTTGGAAGCTCATGATTCCCTATGCTCCAAGGATTCTCCAACCTGCCATGCCAGGCTGGGTACACGGGCTGAGAGGACTCACTGAGGCCCTGCAATGCTGAGGCTCTGCCCTGTGGTCCTTCTACATTCCCCAGTGGGTGTCCCTGGACTGTTGCTTCTGGGTCAGGGAAAACCTTGACATCAACATAGGCAGCCCAGAGTTGAAGAAATGGCTCTCATGTGTGGTGTATTTGGACATCGCTGGTGGAAGCCCACTTGAGCACTTCTACCTGTTTCTCTATTGACCACTTTCTGTTCATTGGTTTTGAATGAACCTTTCACCAAGAGGCAGCCTAGAATCTCAAATCTTCTCACTTTTTGGGATAAAGTCCTAGAAAGACAACAAAGTCCCCAAGGCAGAAAGAGGACTTGGGCTTTGGTGCTGCCACTGAAATCCCACCCTAGAGAATCCCCTCTGCCTTTTATTGATTCAGGACTGTTTCCTTCAAACCAAGAAAGGAGAAGGGAGGGTAGCAGAGCACCACCTCTGCTTTCCTCTGCCAGGTTTCTTCACCTTCACTGCAAGATAGAATTATCTAGGGGAGGAGGTGAACACTCCTGGTCCAGGTGGATTTAGCGTGACCTGACAGCAGCTATCTAGGGTCACACCACCATGTGCCCAGAGAAACCCCCGACTGTTTCGCCCATGGTTTCCCATGAACAAGGCAGTAGAGTGGTTTGTGCAGTTCTCAGATTGGACTTGGGCGCCCTGGGGGCCAGGAATGTGCCCAAGGACTTTGATGCCGCCTGGGGATAAACCAGGTACAGTTGGTGAGGATGAAGTCACCTTGGTGCTGACCATTATGTGTGCCCTCCTTGTGACCGCATGCAGGGTCCTCTTATTCTCTCTCCCTCTCTTGTGTCAGCAAGTCCCAGGGAACGGTACTCTGGGCCAGGTCGGGTCTGCCTGCTTCCCTCTTGAGTCTCACAGCTCCAGGTCCAGTTCTGATGCACCAGGACCAGGTGTTTTAGAGCAAGCCTCCCACCAGACTGAGGAAAGCAGCATCTTGGGTCGGGACCCAGTCCTGAGCAGTTGTGACAGCTCATGAGGTGGACTGGGACACAGCCACAAGAGGAACCAGGCTATTTGCCCTCTACTCACACCCTTACGCCACCTGAAACTCCTGGGTGGCTATTAAAATGCAGATACTGACTCAGAGCACCAGCTGGTGATGCTGGAGGGATCAGGTATGTGGCATATATACCAAGGTCCTCTTCACTCAAGTAAAGAAATTTGGTGATGAAAACATATGGGAGTGAACCATCTTCATATCCAGCTATTACATGTTAATTACAAAGAAAAGATAACATTTACAAGAAAGCAAGCCCAGCTGGTCCAGGGGATTTTAAAATGGGGTCTATGCACCCTCAAAAATCCTGGATAAAATTGAGGGAGTCCATGAGCCTCATGGGGAAAGTTATAGGAAGTTTTCAATACGCTCTGGCCACAGCTCTTCCTTCCCTCAACTGAATGCCGACAGCCAAGTCCAGCCTGCCTGCCTCACTACCTGACTTGCCCACCACATGCTAGACTTTCCCTCACACACCACAATTTGTGTAGGTATCACAAATGCTCATACTCAGCACAAGTTTAAAGTATTCATGGTTATGAGACCTGAAAAGGAAACTATTTTGATTCATTATTAAAAATAGGACATATTCTTTTACATGTTGTCAAAAATACAATTGGTTTATTTGTCAGTTTAAAAAAAGGAGATGAGCTAGAAGTGATGAGGAAATGTCAACATGTGCTAGTTCAGAAAATGGACAAATATTGAGAGAAGTCAACCCAACACAATTTTAGAGTGACATTTAATGACAACAGGGACCAAGCCAAAGGGAA